GGAGGAAGGAAGGAAGGGAGGAAAAAGAGGGAGAGAAAAGGAGGAAGAGAGAATTGACTCAGAGTTTAGGGGTCAACGTCCCACTAAAACCTGGACAAATAACAAGCACAGGCCTGAACCTCATGAGGAATAAAGAAGATGACACACAGTTTTGTGCCTGCTCTGCAGCGACCTGTCGGAAAAGATTTCTACAAACTAGGAGCCTTTGCTACACACACACACACACACGCTCACACAAACCCTGGGGGCAGACTACATGTACAAATCACAGACACTGGGTCTAATTGTTACTGGATGAACAGGAAGGCAAAAGATGCCAAATTAACACACATTAGAAATCCTTCCCTATGTAATGAAGCTATCAGCAATTTCAATTTCATTGTTCATTTGTTTTCTTAAAAAAAAAGAACACTTAGCAAGTGATTACTGCCCATACCTCAGTGGGTACTCCTTTCGCTTTGTACTGAGATTGTAAACAAATACTATTGGAAATAAATATATTCCTAGATATTTAATTTTCTTTGAAGCTATTGTAAAAGGAATTGCGTTTTTGATTTGATCTTCTGCTTGACTGTTGTTGGCATATATGAATGCCTCAGATTTGTGTGTATTGATTTTGTAGCCTGAGAGTTTGCTGAATTCATTTATCAGTTCTAGGAGTCTCTTAGATGAGTCTTTGGGGTTTTCTAGATATAATATCATATCATCGGCAAAGAGCGAGAGTTTGATCTCGTCTGTCCCCATTTGGACACCCTTAATATCCCTCCCTTGCCTAATTGCTGTGGTGAGGATTTCAAGCACTATGTTGAATAGAAGTGGAAATAGAGGGCAGCCTTGTCTGGTTCCGGTTCTAAGTGGGAATGGTTTCAATTTTTCCCCATTCAATATGATATTGGCAGTGGGTTTGTCATAGATGGACTTGATAATTTTAAGGAATGAGCCGTCTATGCCTATTTTGATGAGTTTTTATCATAAAGGTGTGTTGGACTTTGTCAAATGCTTTTTCTGCATCTATCGAAAGAATCATATGGTCTTTGTTCTTGCTTTTATTTATGTGGCGAATTGCATTTATAGATTTGCGTATGTTAAACCAGCCTTGCATCCCTGGAATAAAGCCCACCTGGTCATGGTGAATTATTTTTTTGATGTGCTGCTGAATTCTATTTGCTAAAATTTTGTTGAGGATTTTTGCATCTATATTCATGAGGGATATTGGTCTGTAGTTTTCTTTTTTTGTTGGAAATAAAACTGCTCCAAATATTTGCCTTCCAGATTTTTTTTAAAAAATAGCGAAGTTACTTTCTTTTTGCCTGAGATTTGAGCCCATGAGGTCGTCTGCTGAGAAGAGACCCTGCCAAGGAGGGGAGAAGCCTTATAACACAGGTCCCTTAGCCCCTCTCCTGGTTGCCCGAGCCATTTCAGCTTGGGAGCAGTTTTACATAACCCTGCAGGCAGCGCTGCGTCAAACCACCTGCCGTAGGTGATTGGTTATTGACTAGCCTTGGTGTTTGCTACAGACAGCATCCTAGAACAAGGGGGTAGAACTGGATCCAGCCTCCCATACGTTCTACTCCAGATCCTTCTTTGTATAGACGAGGACACAGATTTTCAAAGAGACTGAGGAATTCCATACAGGCTACCCACCTATTCCACAGCAGAATTGAGTCAAAATCGAGAACACAGACTTGACTACCAGCCAATGCTCTTCACTTAATTGTCCAAAAGCATGTTCCCTGATTAAGTGGAAACCATGCTCTAAACCAAAAGCAGCTCTTCTGCTCCCAGATCAGTTAGGTCTTCTAATATTGACAAGACGCAATGTAAGAAGAGCACTGAATGTCAGAATTCTATTTGAAATCTTAAGGCCACCTAGTTACACACTAACTAGCCAGCACATTCCATGCCTGTCTTCTCCGAGGGCTGCATTCTCCACCAGGGATGGACTATGCCTTGCTCATCTTTGCGCACCACCCCCCCACAGCTGCTTACCATAGATTTTGTACATAATAAACGCTCAGTACATCTTTTTTAAGATAAACGAGTGTCCAAAACACCCAACACAACAGAGACAGATGCTCTATAGATTGAGAATGAGGGAAAAAATAATTACCTGGATTTTCTGAAATAGAAAACTTAGGAAGGACAGCTGTCTAGATGTGAAGAATTACCAGGGAGTGGGTTCTAGACTAATGCACATTTTTCTGGAGCCCAGTTACTCAGGGATTCTCCACTCTTTACTTCTTAGGACATTTTACTGTCTTCGGTGAAAGCTCTATACACCTCTGATAAGAGCTGTCCCTCCTGAGGGACCAGTGCAATCCCTTGGAAAAGCTTAATCAGCCCTAATTGAGTCATAATACCAACCCAAATTAATTAGACTTTTAGAAAGTTGTCAACACCATTCAAGGTAACCTGGCTCTGACTACTCTGTAGCCTTCACAGGGAAGTAAATGTTCAAGTTCTAAAAGCCTGAAATTCTACCGGTGACCCCTGAATAAAGACCCCTTTCTTCTCAAAGACATTCACTCCACTGACTTTTTATTTCCATGCTAAACGGAAATAAAAACAGAACGTCAGACTCCGAGAGGGATCATCGAACTTCAACGTTGGAAAGGCCTGTTTCTGCAGTGGTTTTACAAAGAAGCAATCTGGCATCAGCTTGTAACCCCTTATCAGCATCCTCATCTCAGAAAAGTGTCATTGCAGTCCTGGAAACCAAAAGCATCCCTGACAGAAGCAGAACCAAGTGTCTTCAGAACTGAAAGTCATCAAATCAAACCAATAAAATTAAACATTTTAAATCTCAGGTCTCGCCGCTGCAGCAATCCAAATACACCCTAAGCTTCCAACCACTAATTTCACCACCATAAACTCTGTCCATAATGGCTTACTATTAATAATTGGCAGCAAAATTTGCAGCCTTATTCTCCAGGCACATTTATTTTGCATTTGATAAATAAAAGTATCATTTTTTTTTTCAAAAAAAAACCTACCCTATTCTTACAAAACACCTTTGAGTAGAAAACTCAAAATCATCTAGAGGCATCCTTTTATTAAGTTGTTCATAGGCAGGTGACAGGTAGCAAGCCAGTATTTCCATCCCCATTTCAGAATGAGGAAGCAGCCTCAGGGACTTGAAAGAAGTCAGTCAGTTGTGAGGCTGAAAAAGAAACCAAACTTCGAGATGACCTTGAATCAAATCCAGCCAGAAAAGAAGACATAAACCGGCAATGACACTCGTTTAGCCTAATATGACTCCAGAAAAAAAGTCAGAATAGCTTCGTAAGAAAAAAAAAAAAAAACATTACTGTCGAATCCTAAATATTGTCATACATATGCCATTACCTTGGCAACTTCATCACATAAGCTTGCTGTTTGGGGTATGGCCATATGTTCCATAGGCTGTATCTGTGCTGCTTTATTTTCCTTCTAAGTGCAATCCATAGAATGCTAAAATGACTATTTGTCTCACAAAATTACTTGCTACAATATGTGCTTATTCTTAAATTTTGCACTCAATTTTAAAATCTATTCGAATGCATTTGTTATTAGGATGAGGGGCATCGTCGGAGAGAACTGCTCAAGTTGAAAGCAAAATCACATCTAAAGACATCTCCTGAAGACCGAGAGTGTCCATCGAGGCCACCCAAGTACCTAGTCACAAAGCTGGGTCAAAACCGAGAACACAAACCTGACTCCCGGCCAGGCGCAGTGGCTCACGTCTGTAATCCTACCACTCTGGGAGGCCGAGGTGGGTGGATCGCTCAAGGTCAGGAGTTCAAGACCAGCCTGAGCAAGAGCGAGACCCCATCTCTACTAAAAATAGAAAGAAATTAGCTGGACAACTAAAAATATATATATAGAAAAAATTAGCCGGGCATGGTGGTGCATGCCTGTAGTCCCAGCTACCTGGGAGGCTGAGGCAGGAGGATTGCTTGAGCCCAGGAGTTTGAGGTTGCTGTGAGCTAGGCTGACGCCACAGCACTCTAGCCAGGGCAACAGAGCCAGACTCTGTCTCAAAAAAAAAAAAAAAAAAAAAAAACCTGACTCCCACCCAATGCCTTCAACTCAATTGTACCAAACCATATTCCCCAATGAAGTGGAAACAATACTTCAAACTCAAAGCAGCCCTTCTGCTCCAGATCAATCAGGGCTTCTAAAATTGACATGATACATTTAAGAGGCACACCAAATGTCTGTCAGAAACCTTCTTGTCTCTTCAGAACATCCCTCTCCCTCTCCCCTGCTCTACTACACCCATGCATTTAATGCTTCTGAGATCCCAAAGCCCAAAGAATTTGGACTTGCTCATGAGGAGGAAAAAACAAGAGCTGAGAATTTGGCTGACATCAAATCGCCCTCCTCACGCCACCCATCCACCACGCACAACTATTTCTGCCCTTGTGGGAAACAAAAGGCATCACAGAGAAGGGAAAAATGGAAGACGAGGGACAGCAGGGCTGTGTTCTAGTAAAATTCACACCTAGGAAGAAGTTGAAGGGTACAAAGCAGCCAGGGTAGTCAACCCTCAAAATAAGAAGCAACAAGAAAACTCAAAACTCCGTCAACTCAAGTGAAGAATAAAATGCAGAGAATAGTCATTTGACCGATGCATAGCCCAAGACTCTCCAATGACCCGGGGGGAGGAGATTCAATTTCATAAACAAGCTTTGGGCTGGAACCTAGATGTTCTCGTTCCCAACTGAGCCCGTCATTCCAAATCCCTGGGCTAAACTTTGTCTTGCTAAAATTGCTGAGAACATGAAGCCTGCTTGGGATCATAATTGGAACTTGGAAAAGAAGGCCCTCATCCCACTGCACATAAATTATCCATTTTCTTATCTACATGCTCCTCTAAGCAGGAGGCTCTGTGAGGGCAGGCCACATAGAGACCTGGGACACCTAGCACAGTACCTGAACCATGGTAGGCATTTAGTACATCTTTTATTATACTAAATGGGTGATTTCCCACGACATGATGTGACCTGAATTCGACTTACACTTGTGGGAGAGAAGCACATCAAAGGAATCTGCCCACCTCGTAGCTTCTTCTGTGGATAGTCTCCTAGAAAAGAAGAAAACATCTCTCTTCAATATTTCTGCAATGAGCTCCTTGCCTTCAACGACCACTGAGATCTGCTCAGGAGAACACGTCAGAACAGTAGGGGGCAAATGAAGACCACACCTGGATTCCCGAAATGCTGTTGCATAAATTTGTACATTCTTGAGTGGGTGATGAAAACACTTCAGGATTGGAATTCAGTGAGTTTAGTATATTGGCTTTCAGTCTAAAGAACAAAGCTAAGTAAGCGCATGATTTAACGATGTCATGGTGACAAAGGAAAGAAACGGGTCTCGGAGTCAGAAAAGTTAGGCTCAGCTCCTGACTCCGGCCCTTACCGTCACCTTGATTTCGGCACCTCTGCAATGGGGACAGTGGTGCCGACTACAGGGCTGTGTGGGGGTTGAAGGAGGTAACGTCTGGGACATTTAATTCGGCGCCAGCACAGAATAGGTACCGAATCCAGATTATCTGAATCTAAGCATATTTTTAGAGTAAGTTTGAGTGTTTATTTCCAAATTGGGAGCTCAGATTGACAACTAAGTAGAACCAAGAAGTATCCTTCACCACCCACAGCTTTATGAGTGATGGATGATATGGCTTTCTCAGGAGGAGATCACTAAGCTATACATTTTGAAAAGGAAAATAAACATTCCTTTCACTCACGTCCAGGGATATAAAAGGAGTTGCCAAGAGGCACGAATTTATTGTCCTGTGGCTCATCTGGTCAGCAACTCACTAGAGAAGTACGGGTTATACAGCCATGGTGGGCGCCCACTGTGGGCACCCCGGCAGTGCCACGTGGCCAGACTACTCACTTGAGAGCGCGGTTAGGTTTGTCGGGAAGAATAGCTGTGAAATCGCTACACGAATCTGACTTGTGAGACAGGCATCCCAATCGAGTCCTCATCCCTTTGTTCCTGCAACAAGCACAGGGGCAGAAGAAGGACGGGGAAGCTGTCATGATCAGAACTGTCAGCTCTACACAGAGCCCCTGGAGCTGCTGCTGCAAGAGCCAAAACTGCCCCCGCCCTGCCCCAGGTGGTCCCTGAAGCCTCCATGAACACGAAGAGAACACCTGGAGAATCACTGCTCCCAGAACAGTCATAGGTACCCTACCCCACCCCTAGAGGCCTAATGCTTTTTAAAGCTGACACAGCAAGTTGGTGGTAAGTCAATGAAGGTCGTTAGCTAGGAGAAATTTCTAAATTAGGATTCTCTGTAGGGAAAGGAAATACAACGATGACAAAATAACAATCTACATTTCGCTTTCCCACAAGGAGGGCAAAGGAACAGCAGCAGCAGCTCCTGACTGCAAAGCCCCAGAAGTAGTCCCCACACCAAGAGCAGAGGGACACTTGCGGAGGGCAGGGTGGGTGTCAGAGAGCCCCAGAGCACAGACAAAGTGTGGGGGCTCCAGACAGGTCCGTTCTGACTCTAGTTCTCCCCCTCATCCCACGAATCTGGTTATATACATGGATGGGCACAGACCTGCAGGTGAGGAGAAGAGCAATTGGTACAACCTCAATGGCTTTAAGAACCAATGTCCCCTTTGTCGCTTCTTATACTTGCTCAACTAAGCTTTTGTATTCCTATTTACATTTTGGCTTATCTCAGTAAACATAATCAAATTTTTTGCACATATATTTAAATTTCTCACATTTTTTTATTTTCCAAAGGACCCATCTAATGACATCAGGCACTTATATAGTTATTAATATCTGTCTTGGAGGAACCAATGAAAAATTACACTAATGTCTCTTCCTGCCTCCCAACATTCGCCTCTGTTTGTCTTTAACCAGGGGTTGACGAACCATGGATCCACAAGGGTGCCTGTTTGTGTAAATAAAACTTTATTGGAACACAATGCTATTTGTTTACATATTGTCTAAAGCTGCTTTCAGCAGCAAGGGCAAAGTTGGGTAGTTGCAACACAGACAATATGGCCCACAAAGCTGAAAATATTTACTTTCTGGCCCTTGACAGAACAAGTTTGCTGACCCCTGACCTTTAACCATGGCAACTCCTCCACGTTAAAGGCAAAGGTAAGTGGGAAGGGTTTAGTATGAATATAATCAGATCAGTCCCGAAGAATGACTTATCAAAGGGAAATGCCTCACACACATTTTGGCACAAAATTTGCACAATTTTCCAAAGAAATAGCCCTAGAAGATACCATTCTCCATATGGAAACGAAGTCCGTCCAGCCTGGCTCTTTTTCACAAATCCTAGGGCTGGGCGTAGACCTTACAGGTCATCCAATTCAATCGCTTCCTTTCACTTCAAATGGATTTTCATCCCTGGTAATTGTCTTTGTTCATAGGAATCTTATCCAACAAACGTCTACTGGGCTGGTATTATATCTGGCAGGGATGGACAGCATTTATATTCCAAAGCACATCTCTGAAGAGCCTCTCAGGGCTGGAACATCCAAGTTTCCAGAAATATCCTTTCTCCTGCAAAAAATTGGCCCTGTGCAGCCCCTGCCCCCACCTCAAATCTCAGGCAGGCCACACTGTGAAACCATCTATCTCGTGGCATTTCCAAACATCGGCTACAGCCATTCGCTCTCCTGAGACAGTGAGCATCTCATGCGTCCACTCACTCTCACAGATCACAGGGTGCCTACACCAGGCTATGCGAGCGACTGATTAAGGGTCCTTGAGTCATCACATTCTGTGAATTCAAGGAAAGGTCCTGCTCAGGCCACACCACAGGCCAGAACCCAACTTTCAGCAAGTTGGTTCATTCCTTGGGACCTCAGGATCATTAGTCATGAGACGGTCAAGTCACTGCCCCCAACGAACAATTACAAGGACTTCCAAAAACACAAGCCATCGAACAAGGTTTATCAGGGGACATTGCAAAGGGTGCTATCTGTTACCAAGACAACTGTGATTCTTGCAAATAGTTTGCAAAAATCTTCAACAAAATATTCTTTGGAACAAAATGGGTTTTATTTTTCATCTTTCTAGCTGAGACCTGAGTTATAAACTTTTTAGTTAGGTCTGAAATAATGACAGCAGAAGCAAGAGTCAAAGGGTGAGGTTACTTAACAACAGCAGCAGCAAAACAAACTAGGCTCTCCCTCGTCTGTCTTCTCTCCACAACCCTTATCCCAGTAACTCACAGAGGTTCCTAAATGGTTCCCTACAAGCTCATGCACAGTCCCTCATCCCACCCCATACGTCACCGCCACAATGTCCCACCATTCGATGCAAGGGCTCAGAGCTAAGGCAGGCCCCGCTTGCAAGGCCACAACTTTGCAAGAAGCACACAGGCAAGAACAGCGCAATCCACGCAGGAGGCCTGGGGGACAGACGCAAGTGGACCACCCCTGGGCTTAGAAGGCTTGGGCCAGGCTCCAACAGCAGGAAAGGCAGGAAGGCGGAGAAAGGAGGAAAGGGGCAGGGACAAGGAAACAGGTCATCAATCCGTTACCTGCGTGGCATCAGTAAGGCAGCCATACAGGCATCCGCTTACGGTTAACCCTTGGGCTGGTTTGCAGGGACGTCAGGGCAGGAAATAAGACTGCGGGGCTCAGGGATTTACCCTTTCACGTCCTCTCACCTAAAATCAAAGAATCTGCGGTAAGAGGGGCCACCCTGTCATCTGACTGCACTACGCATCCTCTCGGATGGCTGTCTGCCGGTGCAGCACCTCCCCACACGCACCCCAGTCCCCACAAACGTCCACTTGTCCTTAGCAAGGGCGACGGACAGAGGATAGACAAGAGCAGATTGTTGGGTGGCTTTACATTGCTGACTGTTGGTCAGGAATTTTTACTTCCCCAACCACTGGCCACCAACAATTAAGTGGGACATGTGCCCCAGGGGAGGCATGGGCCTGGCAAACCAAAAATGACTGTTCTCTTTCTCTTAGTAGAGTGGGGCCCAAGTGACCAGCCAGCAAGGGGCGGAGGCGGGGGGCTCAGCACTGGCTCCAAAATGATTTGATCGGATGCTGCTCCGAGTCTCGCCTCCCTCCCAGGTACCTGTCCCCGTGGGAGTGCGTGGAGACTCGGGAAGGTGGGAGTGGGAGGGAGGTGGGAGTAACTCCAAGGGAGGCTTGTCAGGCACCGTCACCACGGGCTTGCTCCTGTGCGGGGATCGTAGGCGCGGGCTGGAGAAACGAATGTGCAAGTCACCCTTTCGTACCCACATGGAGGCTGCATGACTTTCCTCCACCTGGGGACTGGCCCATTCTTGACCCGAAGCAAGAAGGAAATAAGGGTGGGGGGAAGGGGACATTGAGGCTGAGGGCTGATTGACTTATAGTCTTCCTCTCCTGAGGGTCCTATTCTCAGGGCTTCAGACCCTTCGTTCCCACAGAGGAACTCCGATAGGAAGAGACACACGGAGAGAGCAGCCTATCCACAAAGGGTTCCCCCAGGGAACTCTGACACCAAACATAGAACCCATTGGAAAAGAAACCTAATTTAGATAGATAAGGCTCCTATGTGAGCTCCACCATTTAAATTATTTTTATATTACCCTGAACGTTTCACAAATACTTCTTTAAATAGCTTCTCTAATAATACCATAATTAATAAAATAAAAAGATTGCTTTGTTAAAACTAAAAGAAATGAGTTAGACTTTGTGTAAAGGCTCATCCCCATGGACAGGTTCCCTGGCAGCGGGGACATTTCCTTAATCTTTGTCCTAATCAGGCTTACACCTGCTTGCCCAGAAGTCAGGAAATCAAAACCCTTTGTGGCTGAAGGGGTCCCCAGAAATCATGTCTGGGGCACCTAAGCCTCCTTTTCTCTTGCTGTGGGATATGGCCCCAGGGGCCTCTATTACGCTGGAGCTCAGGGAACCGGAGACTACCACACACTACCCATGTAGACTGCAGGCAAGGTCATTTGGGCAGGGGGCCACTCAGCCTTTTGTCCCTGCCTTGTCACCCTTCCCACCCCACTGCCAGCCAACCCTGGCTTGCCCATGCTGTTCAGATGCCCGACTCACTCTCTTCCAACGCTAGCACTGCCCAAATTGCCCCTGAGACCCGCCACCGTTCCTCTGATTAGCTCAGCCTCAGACTCCACTCAATAAGGATCAGCAGGACACTCTGACCCAGCTGCCTGGTCCATTCCGGCATCTCGGGGCTCTCAGCCCATTTGGCCTGAGACTTATGGAGGACAAAGCTAGGGGTTACCCAGAGCCCAGGAAGTTCAAGGGTGTGATTGCACCCACAGTGCATGTGCCCTCGTAGGTGGCGTCAAGTCACGGGCGGCTCTAAGGCAGACAGAAGGGGACATGATGGAAAGAGAGGATGCTCAAGGAAAAACCAAAGGTTAAAAGCAAAGAGCAAAGATTTATAAAGAGGAGGAGGGAAACTAAGAGCCTCAGCGGGGAGAAAGCAATCAATATGCATGAAGAGGCAGGTTAATTAAATATGGATAATGCAGTCGGTACACACAGACACCCGGAGAGGAAAGAGAAAAGCAAAAGCAATACTCACTGTCTTTGGCCAGTCCTCATGGCCTGCGGGTCTTTGCCAACTGGATGGTCAGAGAGGCTGCGGGTTAAGGAGCTCTGGAGAAAAAGTAGACCTTTCTTTTAGCAGCCAAATCCTTGGCGGGTGAAGGGCATGTGTGCATGAACACACAGGTGCACACACACACACACACACACACACACACACACAGGCATGCACAACACACCTCCCACCACTTGAGCCAGGCAGCAAGCGGCCCTGCAGAACGCTCCTCTCTCTGCTTGTCACATCCAGTAAATACTGAAGCATCCGACACCCGGCGGGCGGCGGCTCAGCTCCCGGGCACAGGCTGCACACCGGTCCTCATTGGCAGGATGCAGGAGATGCCCCTGGGCAGAGCTCAGCCTCACTAACCTGAAGCTCCTCTGGCTGCAGCTCAGGGAGAAGTCCCCGAGCCCACAGCTGCCTCCCTCTGCACCCAGAGGCTGTGCAGAGGCAGCAAAGAATAGGTATTAACTCTTTCCAGCCACCAGTGAGCTGAAAGTCAGGTGTCCAGGGGGTCCTCTCCTAACGAGCCCTGCCGCGGGCTGAAGGTTGGCTGCTGCACGAGGAGCAGGGAGCAGAAAGATCTTGCCCCAGACAGCTGCAGACAGCAGGAGCCACACCGAATCAAATCTCCTAATGAGCCAGGAGGAGGGGGCTGTCTTGCTGGGTGTGATGTGATGTGATAAATGCAGAGAGCAAGAGAGCTACGGGGCAGGTCACACATCTAAATTCCACCCCCTTTCTCCCAGTCTCTATTGTGCTGCACTGCCAAGCCGAACCGCGCGGCCCTGGCATCAGTCCTCTCTGCCACATCTCGGCTGTCCCCCTTGCCCTACAGAGGCATTTCCCCCCAGCCCATCTCCACTCCCACTCCCCACCAGTGCCAACCGCACCACTCCCCACTTCCTAATGAGAAATTTCCGCCTCCTCTGCCTCCCCAAACACGCATATTTCCAACTCCGTGCTCTTGCCTCTCACCTGGCTTTTCCTGCAGTAGAGACTCACCTCTCTCCCTCATCCATCACCTAGCAACTTCCCCCTACTTGCATTTGTTATGGAGTGAGACTTTTCCCTTTGTTCTGCCCGATCTGCACATTAGCCCTAATTTTCTGTCTTTTCCATTTTCTCTTCCAAACCTCCTTACCCACATGGATCTTCACACTGCTTGCTTCGGTTCCAGAAGGAAGACTCTCTTCCTGCTTGCCCTAGTACAGTGGTTCTCCAAGTGTGGTCCCCAGACCGGCAGTGTCAGCATCACCTGGGAAGTATTAGAAATGCAAATTCTCAGACCCCACCCCCAGACCGACAGAATCAGAAGCTCTGGGGATGGGGCCCAGCCTTCCAGGTGATTCTGATGCGTGCTGAAGTTTGCAAACCATTACCCTTGGATAAAGCATGCCTTCTTACTATGATCTGGGTCTCTAAGGCTGAGTCTACACTCCCACTCAGGAACTAGCTCCGAATACACCTAGCCTTTGCTGCAAGTCATTTATAAAACCCAGAAGGCAGCAGAAATCCTTACAGAAAGTGACGGCTTTATAATAATGGTAATAGATTCCATTTGTTTAACTTTTTAAAACGTATAAAGCATTTGCATGTACTGTCACTCAACAATCCTATGTCATAGAAAGGGTATTATTGTTCCTGTGTTACGGATGAAAAAACTGAGGCTAGAAAAGATGAAGTGACTTTTTCAAAGTGACACAACACACAAGAGGCGGCGCAAGGACCCGAGTTTGTGTCTTATGACTCTAACAGCAGAGCTTTTTCCACTACGTCATGCCGGGAGCCAGTCTTTCTGGGCAGATCTATTGGTGCATAACCTGTATTCTCCCAGTGAAATGATTCTGCCGCAACTGCTCGTTGCCTGATGATAGGATGAAATAAAAATTCTGATGCTGCCTCCACAGTGACGCACCGTCTCTCTCTGACAATGTCCACAGTGCCCCTCTCTTAGGGAAAGGGGAATTTGTGTTATAAAACGAGATTCAAAAGAAAAATTTCCCATTCCTTATAACCCCTGTCTTGAATGCTATTGCTAGCTAGGGTTTGGAACTTGAGCACAAAGAGAATCCTTCACTTCTGGACATTTTCCTGGTACACCGTGCTATCAGAAACAGGTACACAGACAAACAGGTAAATAAAAGCCCTCTGATAAGCATTTCCCTGATCCAAGATATGTTTATACCATAAGGTGAATCTACATAGCTAATGTTTAATACATATAGCTAATGTTCAGTGAGCATTTAGTACGTGCCAGACATGGTCCTAAACATTTCACTTGAGCTATCTTATTACCCTATTTAATTCTCACAAGAAAGTTACAAGGATGACACCTTTATCATCCCCATTTTACAGATGGAAAAATAGAGACACGTCATTTATAAGTGGCAGAGCTGGTATCTGATACCAAACTCAATGCTCTCAGCCCCGCTCTGCCCCTCACTTTAATACAAAGGTAGTGTCATTATGGGACACTTCTCTACCAGTCCCCCAAGTCCCATGCTGCCAGGCTGGTATATAGGATGAAAAGCCCCCGAGGAGAGAGGGCAGGGCTGCAGATGGGTCCAGTCTCAAGTGGAAGCTGATCAATATTAACCAGGCATCAGAATCTCCAATAAGCTTTTAGAGAAATAATACAGTCACAGGAAGTCAATAAGTCAACTGTTTAAGAAAAGATATGACAATTAAGAAAGATTTAAAGGAAAGAACAGGAGTATAAAGAGCTGAAGGACAAGAGTGTATGGAGATGTATGGCATTAGGAAAAAGAGAAAATTAAAATTAGTCCAAGCTTTTTTGACCAAAACACTCCTAAACACCAAGGAGTCACCCCAAAGCGCCCCAGTTTGAAAAGTGCAGACCTAGTACAGATCCCCTCTAATGGGAGGGCTCTATCTTAATCTGCCAAAGAGACAAATGCATGAAAAATATCAGGGAGAGAATTAAGCTGAACCTAAACTAAGGTAAAGCATTCTAGCATTGTCTTCCTTCCTGAAGGAAAGAGACAGGAATAGGCGAGCAGGGTGCCTCATCCGCTCAGACTCTGCATTTCCCAGGCTTGGGGTCCTGGCCCAGGAACGGAGAGCTCTGGAATCTTTTCTGGCTACTGCTTCTGACTTGCCGGCTCAAGACTGGGCACAGGACATCTCAACTGGCTGTGACTCTTGGTTTTACCCAGGAATATAGCGATTACAAGACCCGCTCTTGCCTCTCGGGCTGCCGGGCACCCCTCTCTGCTCTTCGCATCCCACACCGGATCCCCTTGGAAACCCTGCCCTCTCCAGGCACCGACCACCCCCTCCAGAGTCAGTGCTTCAGTCCCGCCCCTCCTGAGCTCCAGGCTGCTTTTCTGAGATCTGCTGGACAGCTCCTCCCAGCTCAGCCCCTGCACACCAGCCCGTATCTGAGACAAGCACCTTCCCCTCTCAATCCTCCCTTCCTGCTGGGTTCCCTATCTTTGTTCATGACATCGCTCTGTCCCAGTCCCTCAGGGCAGCAAGTACACACATTTCTGGCTTCTTTCTCTCCATTCCCCTTGCTGAATTGTTTTTTCAATCTTGTCGTTATATTTCTGAAATCTTTCTCAACTTCCTCCCCTCCCATCCATGGATGCTGCCACGTCAGAGGTTATTCGACTCCCAAAGCAGAGCATGTCCTCCTGCCCCTTCTTAAATAACTGATTCCCTGCCCCTGTTTCTCCTGCTGCCTGCCCACAAACCTTCTTGCACACCATAATCGCCCGCTGAACAGACAGCTACCATAAGTGGACCAACTATACAAGCATTTTTCATGGGCTTTGTTGCAGTTCCTCATCCTGCCTGACGATAAACTGGCCCCATTTACCTATCCAGTTTTATATCCCATTGCGTGCGCGCACACATGCGCACACACGCGCACACACACACAGACACACACACACACATGTGCACGTGTGCCTGGTTCCTCTGCTGTTCTCTGTGCCCAGAATGTCCCCACCCTCAATCTGCTTGTTAACCCCAAGCTGCTTCTCTAAACCCCTGACCCCTAAGCTAAAAATTTTCCTTTCCAAAGCTTTTTCAGAACTCTCTGTCAGAAGGAGCCCCTGCATCCCAGGACCACCCCCTGTTGTATGATCTCTGACAGCCCACATCATGGTCTTAGTTTATCCTTGGGATTTATGTTTTCTCATCCTCCTAACTGACTGTACACTCCAAAAAGGCGGGCTCTACGACTTGCTCTCCGTGCCGTTAATTCTCATTGCCTGGCGTGGAGCAGGTCTTTAGTAAATGTCAGCTGAATTTGATTTTGAGTTCATGAAAAAATCTGTAAAATCGCTGAGGATTCCTTATGGCAGAAACACGTTAGGCTTCTGCAGTCTTCCGGTCAAGACTGAAGTCGACAGAACACTAATGGCACTCAGGGGCCGCAGCATAGGTACGTAAGGTGTTTACAAAGTATCCCAGCAGCCTGGGCAGGGCAGGGTAGAATTAATCAAGAGCAAAAGGAGCACTGGGCATTGTCACACAGGCCACGAAAATGTAATTAGATTGGAGATAAAGGGAATTTAAATCTGCAATATAATATTTTAAAAAGCCACGACAGTAGAGGAGGAGGTTTATTGCCAAATGTCCCCTGTGTGTTTATTTAATCAACATACCACCTAGAATAGTACCACATTAAAAGCTTTTAATAAAACAGTCATTTGGATATTAGATTTGAATTCTGGTCAGCACGCTAAAGCTCTTCCGTAAATCTTTTAAAAGCGATTTCCACTTCGTAGCTTCCTAGTAACAGTAGAAACATGAATCAACATATGCTGCATTGATTTAGGGTTTCCATGGAGACTGGAAGGACACAGGGAAGGGCAGGACAGAAAGAGGCCACTTGGCCCAAAATTCTACTTTAAAAAAAATGCATCTCGATTTCATTCCTCTGAGCATTAGCAGCCTCATTTCCTGTTCATCAGTTCAAGCATCCAGATATTTAATTTGTAACAACCCTGCTCGACTTTGCATCAGAGGGGACATGAAGAGAAATCAGAGGCTAAACCTGTGAGCCCATGGGGTTTGCAAAGAAAACCAGAGAAAGCACAGGATGTGGAATCAGAGGAGAGGGCCTTTGGTCCGAACCCTGCCATTAACTATCTCTGTGACACTAACTACCTTTACTAGCTCTGTGATCACCAACATGACCAAGAGCTGTGAATTTTAATTTCCTCACCTGTAAAACACAAATTAACACACCTGCCCTATCTATTTTTCAGGGTGATTATATGCAAAGAA